CGACCACTTGTCTTGATGTTTTCTGGGCAAGCAAGTTGCTTGTTCTTGTAGTAACAGTCAGTCTGCCTATGATGCTTTATATTTTTCCTGTAGGTCTTCTTTCAAGAAATATCTTCTGTTCTTCTAGCCACTCCAGGTTGGCTTGCTTGTCCTTTCAAGTGGGAATTTCCCATCTCTGGAGATCTGGATATGTGGTTCAGGCTTCCACCTATAGTCTTATATATTGCAGAGGCTCCACAGGAAGCCTCCTTCCCTGGGCAATCCAACTGACTTTTGCATGTTGATCTTATACCCTGCCACTTTACTGAATCTTCCAATGATGTCTAGTAGCTTTTTTACTGAGTCTTTGGGGTTTTCTATATATAGGATCATATCGTCTGCAAATAAAGAGAGTTTTATTTCCTCTTTTCCAATTTGGATGCCTTTAATTTCCCATCTTGCCTTACAGCTCCAGCTAAGACTTCCAAAACAATACTGAATAGGCATGGTGACAAAGGGCATCCTTGTCTAGTTCTCGTTATTTCATTGTAATATTTGACTGTGTCTTCTCAAGCTGACCTTTGAAATTTTCTTTTCAGCTCTTGTACCTCCTCATTTCTTTCATTTGCTTGAGCATCTATCTCTATGCTGGAGTGCAAGCTTCAGCGTCTCTTTTGACATCCATTTTGATCTTTTCCTTCTTTCTTGTCTTCTTCATAACTTTTTGCATTCTTCCTGTATGATGTTCTTGATGTCATCGCACAACTCTTCTGGTCTTTTGTCTTTACAGTTTAATGTATCAAATCTGTTCTTCAGACGATCTGTATATTCAAGGTCATATTTTGGCTCTCGTGTACTTGTTTTCATTTTCTTCAACTTCAGTTTGTATTTGCATATGAGCCATTAATGGTCTGTTCATAATCTGCCCCTGGCCTTGTTTTGGCTGCTGATATGGAGCTTTTCCATCGTCTCTTTCCTCAGATGTAGTCAATTTGAATTCTGTTTATTCCATCTGGTGAGGTCCATGTGTATAATGTTATTTTTAAAAAATTATTTGAAATGAACAAATCACTGATTTTGCAGAATTCTACCATGCTATCTCCAGCATCATTCCTATCACCAAGGCCATATTTTCCAACTACTGATCCTTCTTTATTCCCAACCTTTTCATTCCAATCACCTGTAATAATCAATATATCTTGATTGCATGTTTGATCAATTTCAGATCGAAGAAGTTGATAGAAGTCTTCTATTATGTCCTTACTGGCTTTAGTGGTTGGTGCATAAATTTAAATAAACAGTCGTGGTTACAAGAGGCAGCATATAATCAAGAGCCAGTGATACTGAAGGAAGAAGTCCAAGGTGCACTGAAGGAACTGGCAAAGAACAAGGCACCAGGAATTGATGAAATAAAAATTGAAATCTTTCAAGAAAGTGAGGCAGCACTGGAGCCAAGAAATTTGGAAGACAACCGTATTTGTGCCCATTCCAAAGAGAGGTGACCCAACAGAATGCGGAAATCATCAAAAATATTTTTGATATCCCATGTTGAGTGAAGTTTTACTCAAGGTAATACAGAAATGGCTGCAAGCATACAGAGAACTTCCAGAGGTTCAACCCGTATTCTGAAAAAGATATGGAATGAGGGATATCATTGCTGATGTCCGATGGAACTTGGCTGAAAGCAGAAAATACCAGAAAGATATTTACCTGTGCTTTACTGACTACACAAAGTCTTCTGACTGTGTGGATCATACAAGCTATGGACAACATTGCGATGTATGAGTATTCCAGAACACTTGATTGTGTTCATGAGGAATCTGTACATTGACCAAGAGGCAGTTGTTCAAACAGAACATGGGAACACTGAATGGTTTTAAATTTAAAAAGGTGTGCGACGGGGTTGTGTTCTTTCCCCAAACTCATTCAACCTGTATGCTGAGCAAATCATCCTAAAAGCTGGGTTCTATGAAGAAAAACGTGGCATCTGGATTGGAGGAAGACTCATTAACAACCTGCAGTATGCAGATGATACAACCTTGCTTGCTTTTGAAAGCGAAGAGGACTTAAAATACTTACTGATAAAGATCAAAGACCACAGCCTTCTGGTATGGATTACATCTCAATATAAAGAAAACAAAAATCCTCATCACTGGACCAATAACCAACATTCTTGTTGACAAAGAAAAGATTGAGTTTGTCAAGGACTTCATTCTTCTTGGATCAACTATCAACACTCATGGAAGCAGCAGTCAAGAAATCAAACGACATATTGCATTAGGCAAATCTGGGGCACAAGACCTTTTTAAAGTGTTGAAGAGCAAAGACGTCAGCTTGAGGACTAAAGCATGTCTGACTCAAGCCATGATATTTTTAATAATCTCATATGCATGTGAAAGCTGGACAGTGAATAAGGAAGACTGTAGAAGAATTGATGCTTTCGATTTATGGTGTTGGAGAAGTATACTGTCAAAAGAACCAAGAGATCTGTGTTGGACGACTTGCAGCCAGAGTGTTCCTTGGCGGCCAAGATGGCCAAATTTCATCTCTCATACTTCAGATATATTGTCAGGAGGGACCAGTAACTGGAGAAAGATATTGTGTTTGGTAAGGTTGAGGGTCAGAGAAAAAAAGGAAGGCCCCCAGTGAGGTGGATTGGCCAAGTGGCAGCATCAATGGGCTCAAGCGTGGCAACAATTGTGAGGTTGGCCCAGGATCAGGCAGTGTTTCATTCTGTTGTGCATAGGGTCGCTATGAGTCTGTACTGACTCAATGGCACCCAGCAACACTATTAATACAAATCACACTAAAGTAACATTTCTCTCCTTCCTAATTTGGGAACTAATCAATCACATATTTGGGGAGTGGGGTCAAGGGAAGGAGAAAAAAATTTTTGCCATTCATAGATATCATCAATGTATAAGCTACACTAAATAATTTCTAACAGCTTTTCTAGAGGAAGTTAACCTTCACCACATTAAGGTAAACATTCAGATCTCCAAAAACCTTTACATATAGGAAAAGTATTTCTCAGAATAAGAAATTGGATTACCCCCATTACCATTGAGTCCGTTCCAACTCATCACGACCCTGTACAAGGTTCCGGAGGCTGTAAATCCTTCTCCTGCAGAATAGCTGGTAGATTTGAACTGCCCTTGTTGTTAGGAGTCTAATAGTTAGCCTACAGCAACCACCAAGACTCTTTAAAAATAGGATTGTTGCTATTGTTAAATGCATCTAGTTGGTTCCAACTCACAGTGACTTGGTATATGGCTTCTGAGGAGTAGCTGATGGTTTTGAACTGTCTACCTTTTGGTTAGCAAACCAATGCTAATCCTACAGCATCACACCAGGACTCCCAAAAATAGGACTGTTGTTGTTAAGTGCTGTTGAGTTTGTTCCGACTCATAGCGGCCCTGTATAGGATTTCTGACCTTGCAGTTCAAACTGACCTTGCAGCCAAGTGCTTATCCTACAATGCAACACCAGGACACACAGATATGATGTTGTTGTTGTTAAGAGCCATCGAGTGGATTCCGATCCATAGCGACCCTATATAGGGTTTCCAAGGAGCAGCTGGTAAACTTGAACCACCGACCTTGCAGTTCAAATGACTTTGCAGTCTGACTCATTAGCCCACAGTGCCACACCAGGATTCCTCAAATATGACCGTTGTTGTTAAGTGCCATCGAGTCGGTTCTGATCCATAGCGGCCCTGTATAGGGTTTCCAAGGAGTGACTGGTGAGCTTGAGCTGCCAACCTTGCAGTTCAAACGGCTTTGCAGTCTGGCACATTAACTCACAGCATCACACCAGGATCTCCATATAATATGATTGTTGTTGTTGATATGTGCCGTGGAGTTGGTTCCAACTCAAAGCGACCCTTTATGGGAGCAGAATGGAAGGTACCAAAAAGTAGAAATAGGTGGTAGATTAAAAATAACCAAATATTTGTTGCCACTTGTTTTCTTTTTTGTTTCTCCTCTTCCCTTGAATCTGCGCTGGCCATAAATCTGACTTATACCAGAAGAGTGTAACTGGAGTGATACTGTATAATTTAAGGCTTCTGTTTGCCCTTTTGAATGCTCCCTTTTAGAAGCCATCTATCAAATAAGAAGGCCAATTACCCTGAGTCACCACTCTATGAAAAAAGTCCTAGCAATCCGTGCAGAAAAGAAGTGCCCACTTAGTGGAAAGTGGCCACTGAGACAATTGAATAACTGAGAAAAGTTTTCTATAATATTTCATCTAAACCTAGCCAACAGTTGAATGTACCCATGCATAGAACCCAGATGATGCTATGTGGAGAGGAAGAACTGCCCAAATTCTCACCCTAGAATTGTGAGCAATTAAACTAATTGTTGTTTTACACCACTAAATTTTGAAGCAGTGTGTTACATGCCAATAGATAATCAAACCACACCTATGTACATTTAGCAAATGCATGGGTAAGGGAGAAGTTTATAGGATCAATTTTATTCTAAGCAATTTTGTAACAGATCATCTGGGAGAATAGGGACAGTTAAGGAGAAAGCTTGGAAGAAACACTGAGACCTACAGGCACCTGAGGAAAATGAAGTATTAAAAAAAGGTTAAAATGGAATGCAACATTACAAAAAAGTTTACAGAGTTTTATAGCACACACATGCTGTCAGAAGAACAACAGTTTTCTAATTCTGCACATAGGATTTCTGAATTTCTATTATTAAATGATTTATTTCTCATTATTAATATTTCTGAAAATAAATATGTATTCAAACTCAGCAACTATGATATCTAAAAGTGAAAACAAAGTGGTTTGTGGTTTTTATATTAGTTTATCCCTTCACACACTTGTTAAAAAGATAGAACTATAAAACTTGAATTCATTTAAGGTGTTTTTTTAATTAAAAGAGAGTAGAAAAGGAATAGCCAAACAAGCATAGAAATTTAAGACATGCCTTATTATTAAATTAAAATACTAACATGCTGTTATTTGTTCTGCTGATTATCACACTAAAGAAATTACATCAGCAGTCTACCTGGAAAAATTTCTTCTTCATTTCATCAAAGATACTTTGTCTGCATCTCCAAAACACATCCTATGGTATATAAGAACAAAATGAGTTACAAATGATTTCTTTAAAATAAAAGGGAAGACAGTGAAAATTAGAGCAATTAACTTAAAGATTTTTTTAAATAGATTTATTAATTACTCTAGTAATTTACTCATAAATTAAATGTATTAATTTTTACTTTATGCCTCAAATATTCCCATAAAAGTTACTGAAAACCTATGTTATAGCTACAAAGAATAATATTAACATGGAAAACAGTCACATTTAAACTAAGAGTGGAGGCTTTAGAATTGTGTAATAAACAAAACTTCCTAGTAAGGCAAATAATATTTTGAGTCAATTAAAGGAACTCTGCAGGGAAATCAAGAGATTTCTAATTTAACTAGACTATAAATTTGGAGTTTTCACATGAAGAATAGTTTAAAAGTAGGACTACTTAACATTATCCCTTCCCTTTCTTTTAAAAAGTAGCTTTTCCTTATTATAATAAGTCTATTTTAAAAATTATTTAGAAAATGAGGAAAATGCTAAAACATAATAGAGAAAATAACCAAGAGTTAGTCGCTTGAAATCCTGGTCTCATATCATTGCACACTTCTATTATACATATTTTTCTTCCTCTCTTTTAGTTAAGAAAAAGAAAGCAACTTTTACTGCTTTAGGAATTGCTTTATAAAGTAATATTCACAGGCAATTAAACATTATTCTACATCAATAAAAAAAAAAATTTACACTACTTGTTCCTACAACAGAAATAATATTTTATTATAACAGCAGTCCATCATTTTAAAACTCTAAAGTAATCCCTATAGCAATTGTTAACAATTTGAAACACCTAGCAGAGCCCTCCCCATTTTACACATGTATTGTTGCACCACATATATTGTTCATCCTTAGCGAAGCAGAATCATCTTATATGCAATTATTTGAAATGTGCTTCTTGTCACTCGATAGTTACTTTTCTTCACGTTAAAACATTTTGCTTTAAAATTATAATGTTTTTATTGTAGATGGTCCGTAATTTATTCACATAATCTATTATTAAGGAGTCCTGAGAGAATAATGGTTAGCCTGTAACCCAAAGGTAGTGGTTTGAACTTACCACCAGTCCGAGGGATAAAAGACCTGGTAATCTGCTCCCATAAAGATTGATTATAGCCTAGGAACCCTTACAGGGCAATTATACTCTCTCACGTATGGTTGCTAAGCATTGGAGTTGACTTAACAGCCACAACAACAATAATCTTTACTAATGGGCATAAGGAGCTCTGGTAGCGTAGTGGTTACCAATAGAGCTGCAAACCGCAAGGTCAGCAGTTCGAAACTACTAGCTGCTCCGTGGGAGAAAGATGAGGCGCTCTGCTCCTGTAAAGATTAACAGCCTCGGAAACCCTGTGCAGGGTCGCTATGAGTCAGAACCAACTCCACGGCACATCACAACAACAACAACAATGGGCATTAAAAAAAAAAAAAAAGTTGTTAAGTTAGTTCTAACTCATGACAACACCATGTGTGTCAGTGCCCCGTTGGGTTGTCCATGGCTGATATTTTGGAAGTAGATCACCAGACCTTTCTTACAAGAAAGCCTCTGGATAGACTAGAACCTCCACCAACCTTTCTAGTTAGTAGCCAAGTCCTTTAACCATCTGAACCACCCAGGGACTCCAAAGCATTTAGGAAATTTCAAATGTTTGCTATAGATATGCATGTTTATACAATTTTCCCCATAGGATAATTCTCAATGGAAAAATTATCACATCAAAGGATATGTGTTCATTTTTAGGATTTTGGGTATATGATGTCAAAGGCTGACTCTCCCATAAATAACACTCAAACTACAAAACGCTGTTCTAGGTGCTGAAAATACATCAGTGAACCTTACCCACAAGGACAGTCACTCAGCAGTGAGACCTAAACCAAATAAATCTAAACCATTATGCACCCATCAGTCTCAAGGTCTCTGCATTTCTGTACATTGTACCTGGAATGTGCTCCCCTTAGATATCTGCATTTCCTTACCTCTTTTGCTCAACTATCACTGTGTTGGTTTTAAAACATGTCCACAATCATTTGATAGGCCCCTCCAAGAAAAAAGAAAGCTCTTCTCCTAAGTTAAAATTTAACTCAATACCAATGCTTTTTCTTGTTGTTGTTTAGTAAGTCCTTGTGACAGGGAACATGACTTCCAAAACTGTGTTAGGAAAGTCAATACAACTTCCTCCTGTCTATATCTGTCTGTCTATCTGTCTCACTCTCTCAGATGCTCACCCTTGGAATCCAGTCACATAAAAAACCATGTTTAGCTGTTACAGCCAGAGCCCAAATGATATCCCAGCTCCTAGACTTTGAGCTGCCCCAGCTGATGTCTAGCAGAGCAGAAGCAAGCAGCTCCAGTTCAGCCTTGCATATGCATATCTGTGAATAAAATAAACGCTTGGTTGTTTGAAGTCACTACATTTTTGAATGGGCTGTTATACCAACAAAAGATAACTGTTATGGTTGGTTTCCCAATGAGGTCTTTCTTTCAGTATCCTATTTAAAATTACAATGTTTGCAAAATCTATTCAGGACTCATCACCACCCTTCTCTGCTCCAGTTTTGTCTATAAAAATCTGTTATCTAATACATTTGTTTATATTTAATTTGTCTATTATCTATCTCCTTAAAACTTCCTCTGAGGCAAGATGGAATGCTGTCAAGTGCCCTCGAGTCATAGCAACACTGTATAGGGTTTCCAAGGAGTGACTTGTGGGTTTGAACTAGGGACCTTGAGGTTCAAAGTCCAAAGCAGCTTTTAAAAACTTCAAAAAAAAAAAAAAAGGATAAAATATATCACAAACAATGGTTTTCAAACATTGCACAAGAGGTAGCACAGGGCAATGATAACCGGTGAAAGGGGAACCAAGGTAAAGTCTATGGTTAACTCAGCTTACTGCTCAGTTTCCAGCCACAGCACAGGGGGGTAGGCAGAGTTTTCATCCACAATGCAGAGTCTGGCAATCTCCCTGAGTTGAAGAGACGAGATTGGGAGTTCAAAGGAACCAGGAACTAGAATTTACAAAGTAAAATACAGCTGCAAAGACAGCAAGTTCCAGAGATCTGCAGAGGGGTCTTCCTTCAGTGTCCAATGAGTACTGGTCAGCATATGTATGACAATAAACTAGCTGAGGCAGGGAAAAGAACCATGGGAAAGAATCCCTGGAGCCTAATTAGTTTCCCAGCAGCCAGAGAGAAAGATCTCACAATACACGTGGGCAACAGAAAAAAAGTATTCAAAGATGGAGCTGACATAGTCTTAGTCTAAATGCTACTCAATCCAACCTTACAAAGCATAAAATCAAATCTTATAAGAATTAAACTATTTTCAAATAAATTAAGTACATCAGAGAACAAAGAATATTTATGGAAATAAAAAAATAAACAATTCTTAACAAGGTATAATTCACCATATCTGACATCTAATAAAAAATAATCACACAATTAAAGAAACAGGAAACTGTGACCCATGAGGAAGAAAAATAATCAATAAAAGTCAATCCAAACATGGTACAGATAATAAATTTAATGATGCTGTCAAGTCGGTTCCAACTTATAGTGACCTCATATAGGATTTCTGAGGTGGGTTTCAACTGCTAACTTTGTGGCTAACAGGCCAGTGCTTATTCTACAGTGTCACAACTGCTCTCCAAAATTAATAATATTGTAAAGTGCTGTCAAGTCAGTTCCAACTCATAGTTAACCTATATAGGATTTCCAAGCACCAGCTGGGTTTGAACCACCAAACTTGTAGTTCCTAAGTACAGTGCTTATCCTACAGCTGCACACCAGGACTCCAAACACTAAAAATAGTTTATAACTGTTTTCTATATTTTAAAAAGATAGAGGAAAGTATATTAAGGAGAAACAAAGACGATACAAAATAGACCAATTGTAAACTTCTAGAGATGAGAAATATAATGTCCGATTGAAAAATACAAGAGATGAGATTAACATATTGGATACTACCATTAAAGAAAAACTAATGAATTTAAAATAGAAATATATATTTAACATACTTTTTAAAGAAAAATACATATAAAACAGAAAAAAACTGAGAAAAATGAACGAAGCAACAGAGAGCTGCGACACAACTTCAAACAACATAATACTGTCTCTCTCTAGCCCCTCCTATGGAGTCCTGGACTGTAAAGTCGGTTTGAACCGCAAGGTCAGTGGTTCAAGTTCACAAGCTGCACCTTAGAAACCCTATACAGGGTTCACTATGGGTCAGAACTGATTTGGTGGCACTTAACATCCCCTCCTAAATGTAAGGTTCAGTAGAGTAGGAATATCTGTCCTTTTTTTCGCCAGTATACTGAAAAGTTGAATCCCTAATGTACAGAAAAGCTATGGCACATCCCGAAGCCAAACCCACTACCATGGAGTTGATTCCAATTCACAGCAACCCTGTATAGGGTTTCTGAAGTTATCAATCTTTACGGGAGCTGAAAGCCTCATCTTTTTCTTGTGGGGTGGCTAGTGGGTATGAACTTCTGACCTGTGGTTAGCAGTCCAGTGCTCATCTTATAGCACCGTCAGGGCTCCTCAAATGGCATATACTGCTGCTGCTGTTAAGTGGCTGTTGTTTTTGTTGTTGGGTGCCGCCTCATAGTGAACCCATGCACGACACAATGAAGCTCTGCCTGATCCTGAGCCAACGTCACCATAGTTGCTACATTTGAGTTCACTGATGCTGCCACTGTGCCAATCCATCTTTTGGGGTCTTCCTCTTTTTCTCTGAGCCTCCACCTTACCAAACATGATCTCCTCCAGTGACGGGTCCCTCCTGACAATACGTTCAAAGTATGAGAGACAAAGTCTGGCCATCCTGGCCTCTAAGGAGCACTCTGGCTATACTTCTTCCAACACAGAACATTTGTTCTTCTGGCAGTCCATGGTACTTTCAATATTCTCCTCCAACACAACTCAAAAGCATCAATTCATCTACGGTCTTCCAAATTCACTATCCACCTTTCACATGCATA